CTCCTCCCCCTCTCCGCCTCCTCCCCCTCTCGTCCTCCCATCCCCAGTCCTCACTGCTCTCCCTTGTGGGTACCCTGTGCTTCAGCCAGCTCCCCCGCATGCTCCTCCACAATTTCCTGCTTCTGTACCTGGGCTTATGCTGTTCCCTGCCTGGAATGCCGTCCCTGACTCATCTCCTGCTGGTGTAGTGGAGAGAGCTTGAGTCTTGGACTCAGAGACCTGGGTTCAGATCCTGATTCTACAACTTGTAAGCTGTGTGACTTTGGACTGGTACTTTTTGAACAGATGCTTCCTTGAGCCTTGTTTTCCTAGTGTTTGAAAATGGCGATAACGACACAACATTGTGGGGTTGTTGTATGGCCCTTCTTTTTAGAAATCTAACTTTAGGTGACAGCTCTCTCATGGAGACTTTTGGTCCCCCTTCCCTGGCCCTCTCCGCACGCACACCCGCTGGCTTCTAGTGCTGGCTCCTAGTGCCTCTTGCTTTCTATTGTAATTCCTTACTTGGCTGATCCACTTATCCCTTCTTGAGGGCAAAGGCTGCCATCTCATCGATCTCATCTCATCGTAGTTCCCAGCCCCTGAAAAGTGTAGCCCAGGGCCCGCCCGCTCCCGGCCCTCAGGGAGTGCTGGGTGCCGGAGAGGAACTGTGCGCTTAGTGAAGGAGAGATGATGGGGTGGGGAGGCTGGGTGCTGGAGATGGATCCGTATGTGAAGGGAAGCTGAAGCCGGTGCATGGGATGGGTCTCTGTGGGGAGATAAAGTGGTTGTAACGGGATCCGTAGGCTGTGAGATTCAGATAAGGGGAGGTAACAGGATACCCGGAAAGTAACTTGGTGGGAAGGAGCTGCAGCGGCTGGGGTGCACTTGGAGAGGATGAGTGTGCACGGGGTGGGGTGGAGGTGGAGAGCAGCTGTGTAGGGGAAGGTCGGGTCCAGGCCTAAGTGAGCCTCCAGCAGCCTGAGGCCGGATATGTCAGTCTAACCCACAACCCTCCTCTCCCCCGCCCCCACCCCGCCCGCGGTTGCGGACTCAGAGGCCAAATTTGGTAACAGACTGAGTGTCACTCCCCAGCCTCTCACACTCTGACTGTCTTGTCTGCGCTCCTCCTGCGCCCCTCTCTCTGACCCCCTGCTTTCCTGCAGCTCCTTTGTGGGTACAGTCTCTGGATGCGTTCTCCAGGCCCCCAAATGCCTTCCCACCAATGCACTTACATTCCATTCCTTGCTGGGATCTGACCTCCTGTCCTCCACACCCCCCCCATTGCCAAGTCCTCTGGAATGCGTCTCAGGAATGTCTCGAGGGAGGAGTTCCCTGGGAGGGGGGCAAGGGGGGGACAGATGTGGCTGTTCCATGAGAAATGATGGAGGGGCAGGGCTGTCAGGCTGACAGGGACCAGGCTCGCCTCTCCCCCTCCGTTTCAGGTGCCGTGTCCACGCCATCCCCGCCCACATCACTGTTCTTCCTTCTCCTCCCTTCGTCCTCGGACGTGGGGTCCACTCGCGACCAGCCTGCGATGGGAGGGGGCATGACTCAGGTCCCTTATCGGGGTCTCACCAGAGGTTTCCATGCTCGAGGAAGAAGGGGGTGTCCGTGTGTCCGGAGGAAGTGGGGGGAGATGTGGTCTTTGAGCTTAGGGCGCAGGGGCCTTTCAGTCCTGCCCTAAGCTCCTCTGGCTCGTCCAGCGTCTCTGACC